ACGTCAAGAGTTGCTGTTCTCCTCCAGCTCCACACTTACTTAGCCCAATTTTGGATAACTTGCCAAGTTGTTCTGGATCTCATGTGCTTTTATCTTTTTGAGTTGCCCATTTGGGACCTTGTCAGAGGTTTTGCTGAAAATCCATATAAACTACATCAACTGCTACCTTCATCTGCCCACCTGAGCACTTCACAAAACTCTCAAATTTGTTAGGTATGACCTCCCTCTGATTCAGTTAGTTTTATTCATCATATTTTGACAAATGACAAAACTTATTCTATACTCTTGACGTTCACGGGTTCAAGTTGAAATCCAACCACAAAGTACTTTTTCCATTCTGAAGAGTTGATGCATTTTAGAGTTAATTTTGACATATGCAAGTATTGAAATTCTCAAATTGGGAATACATTGCACTGAATAGTTTCAATGGAACTTGAGTTATTGAATATAACCAGAGCCACATGGAAATTTAAAGCTGAACAACTTGAATTGGGTAAGTTACAACAGTTATGATGTCTAAATAAATCCTAGTTTTTGTATCTTGATACGCTAAACTATTAAGGGCTCCAGGCGTTATTAATGGTACACTGAATCTTCTGGTTTTGAATTGCATCTTAGGGGCAAGATCCTTGCCAAAAGAATAAACGTGCGTATTGAGCACATAAAACATTCAAAAAGCAGGGACAGCTTTCTGCAGCGAGTGAAAGCTAATGAAGAGGCCAAGAGAGCAGCTAAGGAGAAGGGGACCTGGGTTGAGCTGAAACGTCAGGTAGGAACAGCAGCATGCCTTGAACTTTACGTAGCCATCCAAACAACAAGTGGAATGTTATAAGTCAGGTGCTGAAGGGCATTGTCATCTACACTTGATCGTTACTGAAATCTACATGCTGATTTTTAGGGGAAAATGTTCAGGCAATTCAAAGCTTGTAATCATTTGTGAAGGGAGGTGTCTGACTTATTGAATTTCTGGATTGCAGCTGTATTTCTACCGAGACAACAGCGGAAATAAATGATACTACTGTAGCTTATTACTGCGGCATCCCTACTGATATGTTCCATCTTCCCAGGGCTGCTTTCTGGATATTTAATTCAGGGCGGCTGCCCCCTCCCTCTCGGGCTTTCTACATACTAGCTCTAAAAGGTCTCCTTGGTACGGTTTTAAGAATTTTCGTCTATCCCTACCTTGCTCATTAAAACTGATTTATTTTGGGTTGTTAAGATCTCCTATTGCTACTTCATTCTTCTCTGAAGTCTCTCTACATTTGATTCTCTAATCCCTGACTCTCTGGAGACTTAGTCAATACAGACAACAGCATGTTTGCCCTTTGTGATTTTTACTTTTACACATGTCCTCATTTGATCCTTCCAAGCTAACATCCCTCCTTGCTGCTGTAATTCGTTCCTTGATCAATATTTTGACAACCATCTCCCTCTTAGCATTAAAATACCCTATCACCAGTAATGTTGAGTTGTCAATCCTGTCCAGCATTCAGCCAAATCTCAGTCATAGCTATGATTTCATACTCCCACCTGCCTGTTTGTCTTGCCAAACTATTTTCTTATCTATTTTTATGCTTCAGTGTGCTGGACTGTCTCAGATCAATTTTAGTTTCTAGTTGCATCTCAACTCTCAACCCCATCCTTCCCATCCCACTATTTATCAGGATCTTATCCTCTTGCTGATATAGTTGAAATCTTTCCCAACTGCATTAACCAATCTTCCCATAAGGATGTTACTCCTATTCCTATTCAAATGTACCCATCCAAATTCTTCTAGTCCCATTCTCTCAGAAATTGTTCCAATACCTCAGGAATTTAAAGGTCTCCCTCTTGCAGTGCCCCTCCAGTCATACAGTCATCTGCTCTATCCTTCTATTCCTGTACATATTACAATATGGCATCCTACTAACTTTTTTGGATTCCTGCTTTTGTTCCCTATCTTTTCTCCCACCTGCTGGACCTCGTACAGTGCCATGGCCTTAGTTGTGGCTAGTCTCCACAGACAACCTGCCCTCTTGTTTTTTGAGAAACAGTTGCAAGTGAGATGAAATGAAAGGATTCCCTAATTAGCTGCTGCTGCCTTTCTGTTTGGCGGTTACCCATTCCCTCTTTGCCTCTACTCCCTTGAGCTGCAGGGTGACCACATCCTGAAATGAGTTATGCACAAACCTTTCAACATCATAGATGCACCTTAGTACCCCCAGCAGAGGCATTTCCTGCACATGCGGTCATCAGGGGTGTCTAGGATTTTCCACCAGATGTGCAAAACATAGACCTGAGATCCCCAGATATCTTAACCACATCAAATGTAGACTGTTACTTTTAATTATCTTTATTCCTATTTAAAGGTGACTAGAAAGATTTTTGTCAGGCAGACAACAGGAACCCTTTAACTCTTATCAAGGGAAAAAATATACTTTGTTATAAAATATTAATTCGCAATGTAAAATGATCTGTGTTTGCAGTCTTAACTAAATCAATAGTAGTCGCATTGGACAAGAGAGAAATACCCACTAATTTCCTACCTGCTTTCCTGTAACATTATGTTTCGCTTTGGTTGAAACAAGTCTGCCATTGGCCTGTTTGTTTAGGAGACCTTGCTGCTCCAGTGTCCCACATAGGTCGACTGCCCAACTTGTTGTGGGGTTCTGTTTGTGGTTCGGATTCTAAGAATTTTGATTATTATCTAAGGCTCATCTAACTAAATTTAAGAATGATACCATTTTACTAATGTACTGATTTTCTACTTTGCAGCCTGCTCAGCCCAGAAAAGCACACTTCGTACGAACCAAGGCGAATAAGCCACAGCTGCTGGAACCAATTCCATATGAGTTCATGGCATAATTTTGTAAAACAAAACAAATAAATATTGTCTGAATTTGTATCGATTTTTGTGCACTATTTGTCAATTTTCACCCTGTCTTGAGACGTTTGCTGATCACCCTCTGCTATAGTTTGCGAATGATTGTAGTGAATTCCAAGAACAGGCTCTTGAAATTTTTAAATAAATTAATATTTCTAACAAATGTACTTTGTGGCTCAAAACATCAATTGGAAATATGAAGTACACTTGAAGAAAAATTTAATTGGGCTCCTTGCAGAAATATTTGTTTCATCTATAACTGAGTGAGGTGCCAGATGACTGGAGAGGGGCTAATGTTGAGCCTTGGTTTAAGAAGAGATTGTAAGGAGAAGCCTGGGATCTATAGACCTGAGTCTGACTTTGGGTAAGTTGTTGACGTAATTCTGAAAGATAGGAATAGTATGCATTTGAAGAGGCAAGGGATGATGAGATAATCGGCACGGTTTTGTTTGAGGGAAATCATGTTTCTCAAACTTTTGAGTTTTTTGAGGAAGTAATCAAAATATTGAGGACAGAGCAGTAGACCTTGTTTCCTTGGACTTTACTGAAGCTTTTGACAAGGTTCCACATGGTAGACTAATTAGTATTAGATCACATGGGATTCAAGCCAATTGGTGAGCTCACCTTAATGACAGGAGACAATGGAGGAGGGTTTTTTGGACAGGAGGCCAGTTACATGTGGTGTCCCACAGGGATCAGTGCTGGGTTCTCTTGTTTATCATTTATATAAATGATTTAGATAAGAATATAGAAGATATGGTTTGTGGATGATACCAAAATTGGTGGTATAGTGGTCAGTGAAGATTAGAGATCTTGATCAGTTAGGTCAGTGGGCTGAGAAGTGGCAGATGGAGTTTAATTTAGATAAATGAGGTATTGTATTTTGGTAAAACAAGAGCAGGAGTTATGATTTTAAAAAGTAGGTCCATGGATAGTGTAGAACAGACATCTAGGGGTTCAAGCACATAAATCTTAGGTTTGCATTGCATGTAGACAATGATTAAGAAGACATTGAGCATGCTTGCCTTGCTTGCTCAGACCTTTGAGTAATGGAGTTGGGATGTCATGTTGATGTTGAACAAGATGTTTGTGAGGCCTCTTCAGGTGTAGATCATAGAATCCCTACAATGTGGAAACAGACCCTTTGGCCTAACAAGTCCATATCGACCCTCAGAGCATCCCACCCAGACCCAACCCCCTTTCACCCACCTACTCGACACATCCCTCCATACTATGGGCAATTTAGCATAGTCAATCCACCTAGCCTGCACGTCTTTGAACTGTGGGAAGAAACCAGAGCACCCAGAGGAAACCCACACACACTGGGAGAATATGCAAACTGCACACAATTGCCTGAGTGGAATCGAACCCAGGTTCCTGGTGCTGTGAGGCAGCAGTACTAATTGACTCAGTGTCCAGTTTTGGTTGCCCTGGTATAGGAAGGATGTTATTAAGCTGGAGAGGGTTCAAAAAAGATTTACCAGGATGTTGCTGGGAATGGAGGGTTTGAGTTTAAGGTGAGAGGAGAAAGATTTAAAGACATGGGTAATTTTTTTTAACACAGCAGTTTGTGTGGAATGAACTTCCAGAGGAAGTGTTGGATGCAGGTGCAGTTGCCAAGTTTAAAAGACATTTGGACAAATACGTGAAAAAGAAATGTTTGGACGGATCTGGGCCAAGTGCATGTAAATTGGACTAGTTTGAGATCATGGTTACCATGGGCTGGTTGAACAGAAGGGTCTGTTTTTGTGCTCTGACTCTACAACTTGACTGTACTGCTCACTTCCTGTATCCTTTGATTCCCTGAGAAGTTAAGCGAGAGTCAGTCTGCTTTAAATATACTCAAGATGAAGCACCACAACTCTTTGGGGTAAATGATTTCAAAGATTGTCTTTTGAAAAATATTCTGCCTTAAATGTTTTGACAAGTGATGCAGCTCTACCCATGTCTTAAATTTCCTGGCTGTAACAAGCCTGTGCTGATACTCCAGTCCTTTTGGAATGTTTCAATGAAATTTAGATGAAGTAATGTCCAGAAAATACAAGCCAGATTTACTTATTGCTTCAATATAGGGCAACCTTTTCATTTTGCATATGTTTCCAGCTGTATTTTCAACATGCCACATGATTGTAGCAAGTCTCTAATGCTGTTTTGATGAAGATCATTATGCTGTCTAGTTTTTTTTTTGCTGCATTAGCATCCTAAATGTGTATTCCCTGGAAAAGTACACCATGTCTGAATATGAACATTGAAAAGATACTTTTTAAAATCCACTTTTTCATTCTATCCAGTGGGAAGCTTAACACCTGCCCATGTTATATTCCCATCTTGCTATAGAATCCTAGAGCTGTACAGTGTGGAAACACCTGATCCAACTTGTCCATGCTGACTAGATATCCAAAATTAGTCACATTTGTCAGCTTTTGGCCCATATCCGTCTAAACCCTTCCTATTCACGTACCTATCCAGATGTCTTTGAAATGAAAACCAAAAGAACTGCGGATGCTGTAAATCAGGAACAAAAACAAACTTGCTGGAAAAGCTCAGCAGGTCTGGCAGCGTCTGTGAAGGAGAAAACAGTTAACGTTTTGGGTCTGGTGACCCTTTTAAATGAAATTGTACCAGCTTCCACCACTTTCTGGCAACTTATTCCATACACACGACCTTCTGTGTGGAAGAAGTTACCCCTAGGTCCCTTTTAAATCCTTCCCCTCTCACCTTTAACCAATGCCCACTAGTTTTGGATTTAGCCTACCTTAGGGAAAAGACCTTGACTATTCACCCTATCCATGCTGCTCATGATTTTTATAAACATCTAAGGTCGCCCCTCCGCCTCTGATGCTCCAAGGAAAATAGCCCCAGCCTATTCAGCTTCTACCTATAGCTCAAACCCTCCAACCCTGGCAACATCCTTGTAAATCTTTTTTGCACTCTTTTAATTTTCACAACATCCTCCCTATAGCAGAAGACCAGAATTGCATGCAGTATTCCAAAAGTGGCCAAACCAATGCCCTGTACAGCTGCAACATGACCTCCCAACTTCTATACTAAATGCACTGTCCAATAAAGGCAAGCATACCAAATGCCTTCACTATCCTGTCTACTTTCTACTTTCAAGGAGCTATGAACCTGCACTGCAGTCTCTTTGTTCAGCAACGTTTCCCAGGACCTTACCATTAAGTGTATAAGTCCTGCACTGATTTGCCTTTCCAAAATGCAGCATCTCATTTACCTAAATTAAACTCTATCTGTCATTCCTTGGCCCATCTGATTGAGGTCTATTGTACTCTGAAGTAACATTCTTCGCTGTCCACTACACGTCCAATTTTGGTGTCATCTGCAAACTTACTAACCATACCTCTCATATTCACGTACAAATCATTTATATGTATGCCAGAAAAAAAACCCTGCAAGACATAGGGGGCCAGATTTCCAAAAACATGGTAAGAGATAGCTTTTATGGAGCGCCTTTACTTTTTTTTTAAAATGGCTGATTTGAGGAATGAATCTTGGTGCTAAGGGCCAAGGTATTGAAGGCATGGCTTTTAGCTGAGCAAATAAAATCTAGAATGATCAAGAGACAGAATTGGATGAGTGCAAATATATTGGAGAGTTTTGGGTTTGGAGATTAGGGACAAGTTCGTGGAAAGATTTGGAAACAAAAATTTGGCCAAGGGCATAGTTGACATCTGAATTGCCTCAAATTATGGAAATTAGAATGCAGGAGGTTGGCCAGGGTGACAAAAGAGATGGTGGGGGTCTTGGTGTAGAGTCAGTCATATTAGTGATGGAAACCATAGCATTGGTAAGACTATTGATTCACCTAAAAGTTTAACATTTCAAAGGCTTTGACCAGTCTGGTTACCAGTGGGAATGACAGACGTAGCAGCAAAGGAACATCATTTGTAGTGAAGGAAAATAATGGCTTTAATCTTGGTAGTACTTAAATGATGGAAGTTCTGCTCATCTTATGAGCTGTTTTCTAATTTAGCAATAATCAAAGGGTCACAAGGTGACGGTGGGTTAGAGCTGGCTGTTGTTAGCACACAAAATTAAGTGTGGTATATTCAGTTGATGTTTGCAAGGCACCACATGAAGATATGAAATTGTCTGGGGTGATGGGATCAAGGATAGTTCCTCAGAGGGCGCTAAAAATAATTGTAACACTGGGAGCCGGAAGAGAAGCCATTACAATATATAGTCCAATGCTGCTGCTTAAATATGTTTGCCACATAAAATTGAGGGTAACTTCAGCATAGACTGGTCAATAAACAAAAAGGAGCAACAACCATGTTTAGGATGGCAGATGATTTGTGCTTGAGCCTTGGCTAGTTACAATATCTCAATGTTTTACATAAGACAAATGTATCAAGTTTACTCCCTACAAACAAAAACAAGTTGCTGGAGAAACTCTGCAGGTCTAGCAGCATCCTTGGAGAGAAAGAGTTAACGTTTCAGTTCCAGTGAAGAAGGGTCACTAGATTCGAAACGTTGACTCTGCTTTCCCTGAACGATTGCCGCCAGACCTGTTGAGTGTTTCCAGTATGTTTCTGTTCTTATTGCAGATTTTCAGCATTCGCTGTTCTTTTTCATTGTGTGATCTGTCCATCCTGCGTATCGACATTTTCATGTTTTAATGGTTAGTTCGGTAAGCAGATAAATAAAACGATCTGACTATACTCAGACGAAAAGTGCTGCCCCTGCTGAGTAATCGACAATGGGGCAACTTTGAAAGGAATGTATTATATAATTTCCCAGGTTCTGAATCATCTTACGCACCGCTAATAAACAATTTACACAACTGGTGATTATTCGTCACTAAATGAGGGAATTGATCCTTAGCGTAAACACACCCACGCACACCATCCACACTCATGCGGAGGATTTCCATTTGATTACAAGCAAAAACCTTTCGAATGGATGTGAGTGCCTGTAACATTCATGGATGCAGCAGTATATTCAAGAAGTAAAATCTCAATGTTAAATTCAACTGGGAAGTGGAAATACTTCACGTTGCAG